TGGTGTCTTGCGGTTAGAATGATATCAACAGAATCACTACACAGAGAAATTAAGTACCTCAAATGTAAGTTTCCGTGCGCATCACCTGCTAAAAGCAGATCAATAGAATTCGTTGTTTCATCATCCATTTCATCTCCATCAGTCTCACTTATATTTCTTAATAGTTTACTGTATGAGGATAAATTGGGTTCAGTGATTTATGGAGCATTTAGATCTCGCACGAAAAAAACAAAGGTGATCAAGTTCCGCACCTGATCGGCTGGACACGTGCCAATGTATTCAATCGAGGCAAGTATTTTTGAATAGGATGTGCACTAAGAAAATTGTTGGCCTCCTAATAATTTAGAGTTCTTTTTGTTTTAAGTATATAATATTAATATCGTTGGTGTGCTTCAATTATAATGGCATCTAACAAAAATTTTCAAACAACCTGTTGCCCAAAAATCATGTGATCTGAATTCGCGCAAGTCTCGTGCACCCAGTGAAGACAATTGATTCCAGCGCATATTAAGTGTAAGGAATTATTCGATTCGATAGGTTTTTGAATCAACTCGTGTATCATTTCTAATTTATCTACGTTGTAAAGCCGTATTATTCCATTTGAATAACCAATGGCGATAACTTTACCTTGTATAAATAATAATAATAGTAATAAAAATAAGTCCAAAAGGCCTAGGCCTCACATAACAAAAAGTATGATATAGAACAACGAGAATCTTACCATCAGGTCTCCAGGCCAAGGTTTCAACTTTTCCCTTGTCGTCCAAACTGGGAGTCAGAGTCCATATTTTCTCCAGGGCATTATACCACCTCGCTACCCAGACGCTTCCAGATACAGTGCATACTGCGATCAGGTCCATCGTCGAACACATGGAAATCATTTTTATAGGTGAGTCAACTACATGTTTCTTTATTATGTGAAAGGATGCGTGCGCATCACCTTCCTGTTGGAAGATCATATTCAATAATTCAACTTGAGAACAGATACTCCCCAATCTTATTTATTTGATTATCAATTATCTGTATCAAAATAGTCACGTGACATTCACGTGAGATGTGCGAACGTAAAGTATAACAGAACAACTACGGAACAACTGCGGTACAACTTTTCCTTTTTACATTTTCAATTGAAAAAAACGCGTTTTTTTGGTTCATTTACTTTGACGCTTATGCAATTGCACCCAAGTCACTAGAAAATAAGAAATGTCCTCAATTTTCGATGGATGTTGTATCACATTCTCTGGCGTGTTTGACGCTGGCAATCATAGCAAACTACAGAGCATTGTCAAGGAACATGGCGCAGTCCATTCCTCCAGTTTAACGAAGAAAACCACCCATTTGGTCGTAACAAAAGAGGATTATGCGAGGCCTAGTATGAAAGTTACTTCAGCTAGAGCAAGAGCCGAAGAAATATCGATTGTGACTTGGCAATGGGTCGAAGATTCTATCAGTCAAAAGTGTAAGGTAGACGAATCCAAGTATTCCATTACTGCGGATGCCGATGATGATAATGTCGATATGACCGATGCGAATGAGGTTGACAAAGATGATAAAGAAGAATCTAAAGATGCCTCACGTAAAAGAAAACGAGCGGTTAAAACCGAGAAAGAAGATACGACTGATGAAAATTCTGTTGTCGTTGCTTCAAGTTCAAAAAGTGAGACAACTAAGAAAAAAAGGAAAATAAAAACTAGTACGTCCTCCGCTAGCGTGCAGACTGTTGATGTTAAGATTGTCGAAGAGAAAAAAATGGTCACAATAATAAAGAAAGGGAAGGCACCTGTTGATTCCTTGTTTAGAGAGAAAGATCGTACTCACGTATATTCAGATGATACAACTGTATGGGATTGTCTTCTTAATCAAACCAATGTCGCAAATAATAACAATAAATTCTTTGTTATCCAACTCTTGAAGCTTGATTCTGCGAACCAATATTTTGTCTTCACCAGATGGGGCCGAGTTGGCTATGAAGGACAACAATCTACTTTAGGCCCTTTCTTCGACTTGGATGTGGCGAAAAGAGAATTCGAGAAAAAATTCAAGGATAAGACTCGCAACTCCTGGGATGAAGTGTGT